GTGCATGAGAGTGAGATGTGGAAGATGATGCTGATGATGGTGGCTTGGGTTTTTTTTTTTTTTTTTTTTTTTTTTTTTTTTTTTTGCAGGTAGGTGTTGCGGGATCCAGCCGCGGGGCACCATGGGGCTCCTCTCCGCATTGTTCGCGCGAGCCGAAATTATCAATAGCGTTACATAAGCGCGAGCGCGACTGGGGTTCGGCTTAAAACGCACGGATTGATATATCGATACGGAAATATGGTTATGTCACAGCGTGCATGAGTCTACTACACGCAAGCATGCTTGTGCATCACTGTTTATTTTGCAGTGTCTTTGTTAGACTAGTCACACTTGGTCAAATTTGGCTGAGAACAGAAATTAGAGCTGCTTTCTTTCATGCAATCTATAATTTGTGTCTGTCAGTGCTGTGGATGTGTATGCTGTTCAGTACAAATGCTTCAGTTGTACTAATACTCATTAGTCGTGTGTCCTTACAGGAAAAAGCACACAGGCGATACTGATCCCTTGTAAAGGTACACACTGAAAAATTCCAGCTTGGTCTGACCAGCAACCAGCTGGCAAAGTTGCGTTTAAGGGATTTTCCAGGTTTCCTGACTGCACTAGATTGATCAACAAATGTTTGAGATTTTCTAATGACCTCACTGCACTAGTAGCGGTTATCCAGAAACGGTTTCCAGCTACCCGCACTTAAAGATGGCTACCAGTTTGTCCAGCTCTGGCAACTGGCACATCAGACTAAGCTGGGAGGATGTTTGCGAAGTTTAATGTTGATGCTTCGGTCATGCTGCTTCGTTGCCCGTGGTGTCCTTTATACCTAGGCTAGCACACAGCCGATACTGTTGGTCAAACAATCCCTTGTAAAGGTACACTCTCAGAAGTCCTTGTCGCTGGGGTTGACTCTTCTGTACCGTCAGTGTGTAACATTCACCTGGAAGCATGGCTATAGTGTACCTTTAAAAATGATTTAAGGGACATTTTTAATTGGACCATAATTAGCATAATTAGGCTTGTTTTTAGAGTAAGGCTTTAAATGTACGCTACATGCCCCTTTCTAGGTAAAAGATACACACTTATGGTACAAAAGGTGCACGCTTGAGGGTGCTACCTCAGTGCCAAGGAAAGGTAAAGTTTTCTGAGAGTGTAGAAAAGACACGAGTGCATAGACAGGTCCAAGAGTTTCCTCGTTTTTCAGGATGAGTGTAAGCTGTCATCCAGAAGGAAAGCGAGACAGAGGGTAAGTCAGGACAAATAAGGCACTAGTTCCGAAATCTTAGCAGAGGCTAACAGCAAGCTGGATGTGGTTGACATTTCTGGTTTCCCGACTGAGATGATTAGCACGGTGTCAGATTAAGATGCGTGATTTTCTGTTCTACAGTATGGTGCTTTTGTAATACGACATACTGATGCTGATTATTACTGGATTACAAGAAACCAGTTGTTATAGGAACATAAAGATGTGCTACCTTTATTAACAATCACTGGTATAGTTTGTGTACAATATCTGGTAATAAATTAAGATCACTGGTAGAGTTTGTGTACAATATCTGGTAATAAATTAAGATCACTGGTAGAATTTGTGTACAATATCTGGTAATAAATTAAGATCACTGGTAGAGTTTGTGTACAATATCTGGTAATAAATTAGGAGTACAATATAAATCAAACTTCTACTTTGTTAGATTTGGGTCTGATATATTTTTATTGCCGTTTTAATTTTACGTTGACCTCATCTGGCTGACACTTTCGTCCAAAGTGACTTACAACTGAGCAGTTGAGGGGTTAAGAGTCTTGCTGAAGGATCCAACAGTAGCAGCTTGGTGATGCTGGGATTTGAACTCATGACCCTCTGATCAGAAGCTCACTGAGCCACCACTGCCCCTTTGTAGAAAAAGATGGACAACACATATTTATTTTCTTTATATAGGTATCTTCGAAACCCCCTTTTTTAAGCACTGAGTACTGTTGTCTCTTTGGTTAGTAAAAAAAATAAATAATTAGAGGAGCTACTAATTATTAAGTCATGATCACCTGAAATGTCTGCCTTGCTATTTTCTTACTGTTGTAAAAAAAAATAGCTAACTAACATTATCTTTACATCGAATGCCAAAATCATAGTCACAAGAAACATACACTGTGGTTTGTATCAGCCAATCAATTAATCTACACGCTACCAAAAAAGTAAACGTCTGACTGATATTTTACTTTCATATCAGTACTACATGCGTAAAGACTATTTTTATACTGTACTTTTGCTCAGATAAACCAGCGTCTACGAATAAGTCAGTTGATCAACATTAAATATATTTCACTCTAGTTGTACAGAGTTTATTATTATGCTCAAATGGACCAGGCTGCAGACCGAACATGCATTTTATGTTAAAATTTGTATTAAATTAGGTTATACTTTCAACTGGGTGATACATACTGTATTTCAGCAGATTGCAGTTAAATATCAGTTCACGTAATATTTGTTTTATCATTTACTCTGTTATTATGTAGCCTTTCCATCCACCGACATATGCCAAGGTTTTTGTGGTAACATTCTATTTTTCCTCTCTGCCTGCTAACAATGGGCCTCATTTATTATTCCTTTAGTAAATTTGTCTGTAAAAATTTGCGTAAGCCAAACAGAAGTAAAAATGTCCCCCAGATTTCCAAAAGTTTCAGAAATGCTCAGTACTCGCGTGCATGTGTTGAAGAATGCCAATCATCTGTGAATAACCAGGCCGGCACAGCTGATTTGCATTTGGTGACGCCCACAAAACTCCATAAAAGGCAAAGCTCACAGTGCTGAAATGATAAGTAAACAGCAAAAATGTCTTTCTCAGAGGTAGAAGTGAAAGTTATTTTGACTCACGTCTAACCTGATGAAAATATATATTATTTAACAGCATAATAAGTCATTGAAATGATGTAAATTAGATGTAAATTAAATAATGCGAAATGAAATGTTGCTACTACACACCAGTTTTTTGCACACCAGTGCAGCCCTTCCCAGTGCCGCGTTGGAAACGCAGCAGGGTGTCATAGCAAGTCATGCAGCCTGTGTGTATCATATGTGTCATAGGACGTCACGCAGCACACTAGGGAGTATATGGCACATTGCAACTTGAGACATACAGGATTGGTCACTCACCAGTCACTTAGTGCTGGCTGTAATAGAGTGTTACACAGCATTAAAAGATGATGATGATGATGATGATGATGATGTGGTAAACAGAACCAACTGAGTAATTGCAGCCCATCCTCCTTTTATACAGCAGCATTCTTAATTGAATAACTGATCTTATTTGTCTTCATTTACGAATTTATGTTTGCCTGCTTTCATTATGCTTTTCATATTTAATATTTCTTTAGTTAATGCCATTAGTATGAAATGACTGGGTACAAACATGCAGTAAACTATTGCAAAGAGTAAGCTCTGAAGCTGATGAATATATTAGTTAGTCTTCTTATACGTAAATTTACACACACTCAGGAGGACGAGTAGGATACGAACGTTTATCCTGAAATTACAGGAGTTTCATGAATACCAAATTTCTTGTGTAAATAATGGCACAAACGATTTATGAATAAATCTGTTCATATCCAGCTTGATACTGTGTATGAGACCCAATGTTAGCACATCTGATAAGAATTTTGCCCTGTAATGTTGAGCTGCCCTCCAATTTGTATTAGAAGGCTGCAGCTTCTTGTGCCACTCACATGGGAGATTAGTGTTTCAGATGTTCTCAGACCCACCCATTTAATAGCATTATCTAATGCACATGCTGTCTAATAACGCGTGCTATACCTACACACTAGAAGCCTCTTTTTGCAAGTCACTACAAGACATTCCAGCTTTGCTTAACATCTAACATGGCAGACCAACATGGTTATGAATTTGTTTTAGGCCTGCCGTGTCCCGAGTACGCCCACATCCCCAGACTCCCTTCAATGTAAAGGTGCAGATAAAATTTTCAGTTTGAGAGAGACCGTGTCTGTATTGGGAATTACCCAGTGACTTCAACAAAAGCCAATGGCCATATTTGTCGTGTTGTTTCGTCAGAGATCTCCCTATTGCACTTCAGCTTTGTAAACACGACTCCATTTTCCGTGCCAGCCCTCAAATACAAGACTTGTTATTGCATCCATCAAGCAAGAAAACGTACAATGTGAAGGCGATGTGGTGTACTTTCCATTTACAGGAATTGTGTGATTTTACAAGCTAGCTGAATGTTCTCCTCAATGAGACGTTGCAAAAAAGCAAATGCCACACCTCACCTGAATAAACACTTCCACTCCCTGACTTAAGCTCTTTCAGGTATTTCCCTCAATCAGTCCCTCTTTACTCACACTTTCTTTTAAAGATGATGTCTGCATAACTGTTCTGTGTACGGTGGCCCGTAAGTGCAAAACAAAACAGCAAAACAGTAAATGCAGAAGCACAACAACGTTAACTCTAAGCAGAAAGAGTAGGCCCTTATTAAATGTCACATGCTTGTTGGTGATTGGCTACAGCATGCGCCAGTCTGAGAGACCGCAGAAAATGAAGAGAGGATGTTTACTGTAAGAGGAAATATGAGCCTAAATGAATCTACTGGTGCTTTAATTCGTGCTTATTTTTATCAAGGGCATTGAGTTGGTGTTATTTTAGATATGCTGCTAACCTTACAAGGCATTAATATGAGTATGTGAACAATTAAAACCCCTCAAAAAGGAAGTTAGGTTATTATAATTACTCCGCACTTCAATAACATAACGAGCATGTGATGTTCACTAAGGATCTACCCTTTCCATTTTTCAGTTAGTGTTCACGTGTTTCTGGATTTGCAATTATTTCTTATTTTTGCTGTTGTGTTTTTGGTTTTGTTGTTGTTTTTTCTGATATGCTGTTGTGTTTCACCTCCAAATTTGCTGTTGTGTTTTGGGTTTTGCTGTTATATTCCTGAATTTGCTGTTGTGTTCTTGGTTTTATTGTTGTGTTTTCTGATTTGCTGTTATACATCACCTCCATATCGGGCAGTAGTGGCTGACTGGTTAAGGCTCTGGGTTACTGATTAGAAGGTTGAGGGTTCAATCCCCAGTACTGTCAAGCTGCTGCTGTTGGGCACTTGAGCAAGGCCCTTAACCACATCTGCTCTGGGGTTGCTGTGTTATGGCTGACCCTGTGCTCTGACCCCAGCTTCCTAGAAAGCTGGGATATGTGAAAACTGCATTTTATTGGCTCTGCACAATGACAATAAAGTTGAATCTTAATTTGCTGTTGTGTTTTTGACTTTGCTGTAATGTTTCTGAATTTGTCGTTATGTTTTCTGATTTGCTGTTGTGTTTTTGGTTTCTTAACATGTTTTGCACTTATGGGCCACTATATCTGTGCCTTGCAAAATATTTTTTGCACATACTGTAAATGCAAAATTCTAGAGGTAAACTGTTAGGTAGTGTCTTGAAAATCAATATAAGTGGGTCTGCCATATATAGATGTCTCTATAAAGGTACATACAGAAGATGTAATGAGAGAATTCAGAATACATTCAGCCTCCTTTTGCTTGTTATTTATTTTATGTTAAGGGCTCAAAGATGATGCATGGAAATTTTAATTTTTAAATATATTTTATTATTATTATGTTCAGTTTCTTTTTTTGCAGATCGATGAGCATATAATGGAATTAATCCATTATAAACAACGTCTGTTATGTAACAAAATAAAAAAAGACTATTGGGGTTTGGATTAAGGGTTTGAATAATTCCTGAATGTATTATATGTATGATTCTATAGTCAAATTTTGTTTTTAGAAACTGGCTAAGAAACAGCAAGATTGCCACTGCACCCATATACACACACACAAGGTGAATATGTAGGACTACGTACCTAACTTTGAAAAATGAAATCCTTATCATTTTGAGACATTCTGCTGCACTCTGGACTGTTGGACCCCTACAGATACCTTCCCCTCTTTTATGGCCTAACATGTATGACCTCACTGTATTATCTAATGTTGTGGCCATAGTTTCTTCAAATACAACAGCTCTCGATGACTGTTCATTGCCTATTGAAGTGCAAGTGGAAGTGGTTATTAGTAAATAAAATAAAAATTCACAGTGAGAGAAAATGATACATGTGATAACAGTGCAAAAAAACTGAATTAAGGTATTTTTTTTCTTCAACGAGGTTTCTAGAGAGCACAGGGAACTGTGTTAAAATTTGAAAAAGAGCAAAAACATTTTTCCTTTTAAAACTGGTTTATACTCGCTTTGGCGTTTGGCCAGCACCGTAGTTGTCATCACTGAAAATGTAACATTGATGGACATAAATTTTTAAAATATCCAATGACTGAAGTGTGTTTTTGTAGAACTATTTTTAGTTATGTAACCTACAATTGCTACTCTGTAACATTATTAGAAACACTGCCTAATAATCCTAAATATCTCACACCCGACACTGATCCTTAACCATCATTCCCGTAACTCTGTGAAACCCAATACCCCTCTTTGTTAAGAGTGTTCTGCCAGAATACGATTTAACTTACAGTGCCTTTTTGCTCTGAGGTACTTAAGACAATCCTTCTGTAATCACCCTTAAAGTCTTTGCCGTTAGCCCAGGGGAATAAAGCCTTGATTGTAAAACTGATAGGCCCTGAGCCCAAACGGCACTCTGATTGAGTGTCATCAGAGCCAGAATGGAGTTTGATTTCTGCACACTTAATATGAGTAATACGAGTACAACTCTGTGGGAATTAAATCCGTTCCATGCCAATAAATAAGAGTGTTTTAACTTTCAGGTCCAAATTTGCTGGTTTCTTTGGCATTTTAGAATGGTACTGGAGCTCTGAGATCATGACGCATCATGAAAGCTCCGCGATGAATTACAGACTGTGACTTTGCACAAGCTTAGAACTCTTTCCAGATTTTACAGCTGGTCCGTTTTAGGTTTCCAGTTCAGGTATAATGCAGCTGAGTAAGCTGACTGATTTCTCAGTTGATGGCTGTAATCAAGTGGTAGTAATAAAAAAATAATACATTCATTCAGCAACACCAACAGCAACAACGCCGCCAACAACAACACTTTCTTTCAAGTCTCTGCTCTCATCCTTCTTTGCCTACCAACATTCATGAAACAGACAACAGAAACGATAGATTCATTCATTTATTTACCTTCAGTAAATGCTTCGTCCTGGGCAGGGTCATGCTGGATCCAGAGTCTATCCCAGGAACATGGGACATGAGGCGGGAATACACTTTAGATTGTTTTACACTTCGGATTTTTTTCATCCCCTTATCAAAACTATTTGTTACTTACACATTTATGAGGTAATAACCTTGCATGTTTGTTGTATGAGTGATAAGTGATAAATGACAAAACATGAGGATAAACGATAAATGATGCTCATATTTGTAACAGAAAATACCAGAGAGTGAGCTAGCATGATTTAGTTTACTTGTATTTAAGTTAATGTCAAGGAAACTTAGCAGTTATCCAGGTTTCGTAGAACCACATACATAATTAGCATTCTGTTTCACCTTTCCTAACCCCCATGGGTGGTAAAAATTAGCTGGATGACATATGCCAACAATGTCGTGAGGAGTAAGACTCACTTTAGGACTAATCAGAAAGGAAATCAGAGAAGGCCACGGCACTCACTCCTGGGAGGGACAGTGTTAACCTTGTAGGACCTCACACACCTCTAAATAATACCCAAGAGGAGAAGATGCTCCTGGTAGAGTGGCATATCATGATAGGAACTCAGTGTGCAGCCTGTCTGTAGGCCATGGTGATGATGTCCCAGTGGGCCAGCCTCTGCTACGACAAGGGAGCCCCTTGAGACTTTTTTCAATCGTGACAGAAGAAGAGTTGGTTGGAGGAATCAGATGGCCACTGTCGGATGTAAATATCACCATAGGGTGTTTACCTGGCACAGCAAGGAATGAAGGTTCACTTTCATGGAACACTGCCATTGCCAAACTGGTTTGCTGCAAAAGACAACCACAAGGATATCTCAGAATCACCTGGCCACATAACCATGTCAGGGGATTATCCCCAGAGCAAGCAGTTCTCTGAAATGGAGGGACCTTGAGGGACTTCAGAACAGGGAAGATACCACACCAAGCTCTTAGGGAAACGTGGCAGGTGAAGGTACCTCAATTCTATCAGAAAGTTTGTCATAAGCTTATGAGACCCCATAGAGATACCATCCATGGTGTTCTGGTGCACTGAGATGGCAGCCACATGCATCGTTAGTGTAGATAGGGACTTGCAGCTGTCTAGCAGTCACTGAATAAAAGTATTTTGGGACTTGGGCAATGCACTAGATCCAGCCTGTGGGTGCACACCCTTCTGGGAACAGCTTCCACCAGCTTCCGTTGGCATGCAATACCTATGTGCTATGGGCTATTGCATTCCAGAGTATTTTGTGGACTACTAGGTCACAGTCCTCAGTTGTTCATTTATACTGAGGCATGGGTGATCTGGCCAAGGGTGCCAAATCTCTCTGTCCATTTGAGACAGCAGATCTGTTCAGAGAGTAAGAAGTAGTGGTAACGTGCCAGCCACCCATCCCAGAGCCACTAAGATTTTGGTAGAGGAGGAAAAGTGGATAGTAGATGGTGCGATCAGTCATGGGCCAGTGCATGCTGTCTCAATAGGCTACTGTGGTACAGTCCTGGCAGATTAGTTACCCTCAGTGAGGCTAACCATGGATAGGCCCACCTAAGGTGATTCCATACAAGGCGGAAAAGAGCTGCTCAGAATCGTGCTGCCCTGATGGTTGATGTAGCTGACTGTTGCATCATGGTCTGAGTGAACCAACATGTGATGATGTTTCAGAACCGGTAAAAAGAACTCAAGGTCCAAATGGATTGCCCTTAATTCTAGCTGGTTGATATGTTCTGATCCTATACCAGCTTTTAAAAGCTATTTGTCTACTTCATCGGGGCCAGCTGGTTACTTCTGGAAAAAATGTGCAATTTGCAGCTTTTTTTTACATTTTAATGACAGTTCCTTTAGCTCTGACACTTATTTCCTTTGCTCCCATACAGAAATGTGCCCACTCAAAATTGTCTTACGCACATATGGATGTGCTTTGCTCATGTTTGGAGCATTTGCATGCAAACTTAAATTTATCCCACATCCTTGCGAACCTTGCTCTTAGGTTTACAGTTTAATAGGACTGATAAAAGTTGTCAATCAAGGTTAGAAGATTAATGTGCTAATTAAAAAAAAAATGTCTGGTTTTGACAGACGGTTAATGCACCCGGTCGGGAATACTGTTTTTCTGTTTTAAATGCTCATTAATTTCTATCAAAAACATAAGCCACTGGAAACTAGCCATTACACACAAACACACTTTCTAAGAGTTGTGAGTGCTATTGATTGCAGGCAGGAGGTTTTTGGTAGAGTTTCTCATCATCTCTGTTGATTCACTGTTCATGAAATTAGAGAACATATGCCTGGTGCCCCTCTGCATTACGTCACCTTGCTATCAAGCAGCATGATCTGCCATTACAGTTGTACTGCTAGAAAAACAGAAAATCATTTGATTTCAGAAGCTCAACACTCTTTTCTTCCCCAAACATTTTACTTTGAGGTATACAGAGTGAACTTTAGACTTACATTTCATAGGACTAGCTGGTTGTAGAATTATATACTGTATGTCAAATTAAACCTGGAACATAAAGTTGTATTAAAAACGCTGGGTACTGTATACCTGTTTAACAGCCAGCAAAGAACAGCAGGCCTTAGTGTGGTTGGAAATGATGACTTAAGTCCTGTTACTGGATGAACTGCACTGAACAATAGATCAGTGTTTCTTAACCCAGGCACTACACACACTTTTTCAGTCCTCAAAACACCTTAAAAAAAAGTATTTAGTTTTATAGTTTTCATGACTGCTTGCTTCATTTGTATTGGAAAAAGCAACACTAGGTCATGTGTAATGTTAGCCTCGAACTAATGTTTAACATAGTGAGCATTAGGCCATTTAAAAAGTCAGTTAATTAAATCCGCTCCGCTTAATGTACTCAATGCCACTCAATGCCTTTCATGCATCATAGCTACTAATGTACTGTTACATACTGTTCTACTTAGGATTTAAGTGT